GACCGTGTGAGAGCCACATGAGAGAACGAGGGGGTGGGATGGATGCACCCGCCTGTCTCCTCCATCCCCTCCCGTCTGCCCCCCCGCCTCCCCTCGCCGCCGCCGCCGCCGTCGTCAGACTTGCCGCCTGCCTCCTTGTCCTGCGGAGCTCCCCGGCGAGCTCCGCTTCCGATCCTCTCGGGGGAGGACCCGTGCTTCCGCCTTCGGCTGCACGGCTCTGGCCCCCTGCTGGTCCTCCTCCTTCCCCTCGATCCCCTCGCCCTCCTTTTTCTCAGAGGAGGAAAAGGTACCCATACCTGTACCCCCGCCTGTTTCCCCCTTTTTGAGCCTTTTCGGAGGCCCCCGTCGCCACCGTTGGATTCGCCTCGAAATCCTGGTCAGAACACGCCCCGGGAGAAGTCCGGGGAGCAGCGGTATCGGTACCTTTTGGTTTCCACATTTTCGTGCTACCAATTCCCTCCCTCTCTCCTCGCTATTCCCGGTTCCTCCTCCAGGGGGGAGGGGAGGTAAGGCGGAGGGAATGGAGGGAGGCGGGGGGGAGGGGGAGGAGGGGGAGCGGGAGGAGGATAACCCACGTGAGCTCGGGCTATATCTGACGTCCGAGCCTTCCCTCTTGTCCCTTCACAGTGCGCTGAGTTTTCCCCACCCTCCTGTGTTGGGTTCTCGTTTTGAATCGAGCACTGTGGTATCCACTATTCCTTCTTCTCCCCCCTTCTCCTGCATCCTCCTGAACTGCTTGCTCCCTGGGAGGCTGCGAACTGCGCAACGTTCGCCACTTTCGTGGGCTCCTGGGAGGTCCAACGGGGTGGAGCTGTGCGGGCATCCAGACGGGACGTCGCGGCTCCCCGGGAGGCTGCGAGCTGCGCAACCGTCGCCACTTTCGTGGGCTCCTGGCAGGCCCAGCGGAGCGGAGGTGTACGCGCGTCCAGACGAGGCCTCGCGGCTCCATGGGCGGCTGCGAGCTGCGCGCGTGTCGCCGTCGTCGCGGGCTCCTGGGAGGCACGGCGGAGGCGAGGGCAGCGCAGATCGCTCTGAGACCTCGCAGCTCCCTGGGCTGATGGGCCTGTTTTCCACCACCACTACCACCACCATAAGTTGGAGGGGGAGGGGGTCCTCCTCCTCCTCCTCCTCCTCCTCCTCCTCCTCCTCCTCCTCCTCATCCTCATCCTTCACCTCCCTCCCCACTCCAGCTTATGGTGGTGGTGGTGGTGGAACACAGGGTCATCATGGGCGGCTGCGAACTTCTCCCCCGTCGCCCGCTGCGTGGGTTCCCGAGGGAGGCACGACGGAGAGCGCCCATGCGCCCGCTCGGCGTGCGCCAGGTTGACGGCGCGCGGCGCCGTCGCGGCATGCCGTCGACACGGCGGAATGGATCCATCACTCTCCTACTCCCCTTTCCTCCGCCTCCCTCCTCTCCTCCCTCCTCCTCCTCCCCTACTCCTCCTCCTCGTCGTCCTCGTCCTCTCCTCCCCCTCCCTCTCCTCCTCCTCCTCCTCTCCTCCTCCTCCTCCTCCTCGTGCACGGAGGGTCGGAGCGTCGTGCAGCGCACGGCGTTGTGCTCGGTGGCCAAAATTCCTGAGGTGCGCCGACGTGCGCGGCGCGGCACTGCTCATTTTCTATGGAGCCTTCATATGCATATTTACATATACAAGAAAGGCTCATAATACATATATATATATATGTAGATAAGATACTTATGTATCTGTCAGAAACGAGTACTCGGAGGGGCGTGGGCACTCTCAGCACACTCGGCGGAGAGAATAGAGTAGTAATCACATGGTGTAGTGTAAGGGGAGGAGGAGGAGGAGGAGGAGGAGGAGGAGGAGGAGGAGAAAGACGGGGATGGAGCGGAAGGAGGAATTGAGGGGGGAGCAGGGAAGAGGGGGACCGAAAAGGGGTGGGGGTAACCAGAAGGTACTCATACTGCCCCTCCCCAGACCTCTCTGGGGCTGCGTTCTGACCACGATTTCGAGGCGAATCCAGCCGTGGCGACGAGGGCCTGCCAGGAGGCCGACGAGGGTGATCACAGGGCAATGTCAGCAGTATCGGTATCTTCTCCTGCTCTGAAAGGGGTGAGGGTTTCCCCCGCCTCCCGTCCACATATTCTTCCTTTTCCGCACGTTCATCCTCCTGCTCACCTGCCAGCTCCTCGTCTGATAAACACAGCTCCTCTTCTCCGATTGCGCACAACACGAGGAAAGGGTATTTCTGTGGGAGTTCTGGATCCGCTACGACACGCGTCCGCGGATAGAGAGACAATCATCACACGGGGAAGGGATGGGTGGGAGGGGTACTGTCAGATATGGCGCGAGCGCGCCTGGCGTGTCCCTCTCCCTCCCGCTCTCCCCTCCCTCCTCCCTCCTGGATCTCTTGTGACGTGGGCTAGGAGTCATGCGCCAGCTTCCAGGCAACAGAGCCGCAAGCAGCGACGACGGGACCGACGAGGGTCCGAAAAGCGAGGCGAAGCCAGGGCCAATGAAAGACCACGCACGGAGGGGCCGACCGAGAAGGAGCCGAGGACATCAACCGCTCAGGGACGGAGGAGGGGGAGGAGGAGGAGGAGGAGGAGGAGGAGGAGGAGGAGGAGGAGGAGGAGGAGGAGGACCACAGCAATCGAGCAGCACAGGCTAAAGCAGCCCACACCTGCCAGCAGCAGGCAGCTGGTGAAGCCTTTTGGTCTTACACCAGGAGGGCTCCTCCCTCCCACAGGAGTGCCGCGCCCGGCAGGGCCAGGGGGGGATGGCCGGGGCAGGCACACGCTGAGGCAACTGCTGCTCCAGCATCCGCGTGGGGGCGCCCGGCGCCAGCGCCTGCGCCGGCGCGCGGGGGGGGCTCGTCCTCGTCGTCCTCGTCCTGGTCCTCGGTCCTCGTCGTCGCCATCTCTGCCTCGTCGTCGTTGTCAACGTTGTCGTCCGCCGCCGTCGCCGCGGGGAGGGGGGCCGAGGAATCTCAGAGGCAATGCGCTCACTCAAGGGAAGCCTTTTCGCTCTAGACCTCCCAGATGGTGTCCGAGCAGATGGGGTGGAGGATCGCGCATCATCGCCGATGCGTCGCTCATGCACCGCGGACGTCGCACATGTGTTGCTCACCCAAGGAAGACGTTCTGGCTTGCAGGAGGCGCGCCAGAACTGCAACACATGTCTGCCTGCAGGGAAGGCAGCGTTTGTCTGGCAACGTTAATCCTGACGCCCTTACAAGGGAAACAATGAAAGCAGTACCGGGGCACTGCTTTGAACAATGTGCATCGTGGAACGCAGTGCCCCGGCACTGCTATGGACGATGCGGGAATCTGGCCAGATAAGGGCAGGGCAACAGCAGGATCGCCTTCGGCGTGCCCTTTCGACGTCATCGCGGCCGCGCTGCTGCCACCTCCCCCTGCTCCCTTATTTCAAAACAGGAGGAGGAGGAGGAGGAGGAGGAGGAGGAGGAGGAGGAGGAGGAGGAGGAGGAGGAGGAGGAGGAGGAGGAGGAGGGGGAGAGGAGGGGGAGGAGGAGGATGAGGAGGAGGAGGAGGAGGAGGATGAAGGGGAGGAAGAGGAGGAGGAGGAGGTGGAGGAGGAGGAGGAAGAGTTGGAGGAGGAGGAGGAGGAAGAAGAGCAGGAGGTCAGCATCGTTTAACGTGTTCCCGTCTCCACTGGGTTGGGGTATCTCAGCCCCACCAGCCCACCCTCCCTATAGTGCGGACGGGCCCCGCGAGACCGTCGGCCCCAGTGGGGCCAGGGCCACGCCCGTGGGGAGATTGGCTTGTTCACCGATGCTCGTCGGGGGGGGTCATTCGACGAAGACAAATTACCACACGCGTGATTTTTTGGCGCCCCGCGCGGGTTTCTTGGCCCCGTGCCGGGCTCCCCCAGGCGGCGCGCTCCGCGCGCCGACTCGAGGAAGGTCGGCCACGCGCAGACGGGGTAGGGAGAGGGGGCAAGGCTTCTTAGAAGCACCCCCGCTTCTCAGAAGGCGCGGGCCTTGTCTTTGGAGATGTGAGGCCGGCGCCTTCTACGAGGCAGCCTCCTTCTAAGAAGCCTTCCCCCCTCCCCCTACCTCCCTCTGCGCGCCGCCAAGAAGGAGCAGCGGCATCATCATGTGTAAGACATGTGCGGAGGTCCGCGCGGTTTCCTCCTGGCTCGGCCACATGGCCCCCCCTGTGGCGGAGCCCGCGGCGCCCGCCCCCAGGCGCGCTCTGCGCGCAGAGGGAGGGGGAGGGGGGTTTCAGCGCCGATCCGAGAGATTCGCGCGGGCCTCCACGAGTTTTCCTTGCATAAAAAAACGAAGCTTGCTTCTGTTTCTAAAGCTTGCGCTCCGCGTGCCTTCTTCTCCTGCGAGGGAACCGGTCGGCTCAGGCAGGGACTTTCGCCGTCGCCGCCCATGTTTGCCCCGTGCTCGCCTCGTGCGCTGGGTGGGGCAGCCGAGGCTTTGCCATGTTGCCGCCCGTGGCCGCCCCCGTGGCCGCTTCGTGCGCTGGGTGGGTCTGGCGGCCTGGCGAGGTTCCGCCATGTTGCCGACCGTGGCCGCCTCGTGGCCTCCTCGTGCTTTGGGTGGGTCTGGCGAGGTTTTGCCACGTTGCCGCCCGTGGCCGCGTCGTGGCCGCCTCGTGCGCTGTGGCCGCCTCTTGCGCTGGGTTGATCCGACCAGGGTTTTGTGTTTCACACCTCGAGTGGTATCCCCGCTGTGGGGTTTGGGTGGTTTCGCGGTCCGTCGGGGGTCCCTCCGCTCCGCTTCTGCCTTCCCTCCTTTCGCCAAGGAAGGAGGAGAGGTGAGGACTCCGCCGTGGCGCAGCATTCTGGCTCGCGTGTCCGGGTGGAGAACGGGCGCGTGTCGTGCCCGCAGCATCCATCGTGTCGAGTCCTACTGCATGTAGGTTTTCCCGGATTACTTTTCGACCGTGCTCTGGCTTCTCGTCGCCACGGCTGGACGCAATACCGATCTGGTAAGGAACTTGGCCGCATTCGTAGGCGAACCAGGGCCACAGCACATCAAGGGATACTTTGTCCAGAAGGCGGCAG